TGGTAGCTTCGTGTACTTATTCAGCATATTATACTTAGTCGTAAAATCCGACTGTGTTGCAATTACTTTTGCCTACCCTTCATATTTCAAACGTTGCGAAATCAAATTCTGAATCGCGGGCCGCATCAACCCGCGTGGTATCGGAACATCCGAGGCCGAGCCAGGAGAACAAGCACCGCTGATTTTTCGCCAGATTCATCAATCGTTTCGCCAGGCTCCCGAGACCCAGAGTAAACTCGGTGAAAAGCAGAGTGACCCAAAAGCGGAGTCATCACTCTGTTGACCGTCCACGTAAGTCACTGATTTCACTACTTTCAAATTTCCCTATATAGTTATCTATCGTGGACGTAACACTAGCATTTCAATATTCCTAGTTCTTTTTCGGGTAATTATGTACAATAAGGCCTTTTTCGAATTTTGATATCTTTTTGTAGCTCTTTTGGTAAAAATATTTATTTTTGTAAAATTTTACAATTTTCAATGTTGATAGGTTAGAATGTTTTCCGTTTTTGTTCCGTTTCGTAACAGAACGGAATAAAAACGGAATTACTCTGATTAGCTGACCCCCACTATATTTCTTTTCAGTAACTGTTCCGTTACGCTGGTTGCTTTCCAACAAAAGACACAAGTCAACACAAGTATCATCCTATCTTTGGGTGCTTTCCGGTTGCGTACACTGTGTTACACAAAACCAGTTTATTGGTTGCATATTATCTTACAAGATATTTTAGATAATATGTGACCAATAAACTGGTTTTGTGTACGTGTGTGTCAAGATGTGTTAAGTAATTGGAAAGCACCCTTTGTTACTCACTAATAGCGTGTTCGACTAGCTCTAGGTTAATCGCTCCGAGAGCGATTAATGACGTCATAAGTTTCTACTAGCCAATCATAAAGCTTACAAGTACTTGTTCGACCAATAAACGTAGGCTGAATAACCCAGAGTGGGTTAACTCAGAGCCAATCGAACATGCTATAAATGTGGAACAAAGATAGAATGATGTTTGTGTCGACTTGTGTCTCTTGTTGGAAAGCAATCGCTATTTCTTTCTCCATCTGAACGCACCCTAAAACAAGGAACCTCTGGATACTTTCCAGTTGCGTACATTGTGTTACGCAAAACTAGTTTATTGATTGCATATTATCTTACAAGATATTTTAGATAATATGTAACCAATAAACTGGTTTTGTGTATGTGTATGTCAAAATGTATTAAGCCCGTATCAAACTATAGATTAGAATTGAGATTGAATTGAAATTTAGCCAATCAGAGCAAAATTCACTAAGCTCAAGTTTGGTGAACTTTGCTCTGATTGGCCAATTTTCAATTCAATCTCAATCCTAATCTATAGTCTGATACGGGCTTTAAGCAATTGGAAGCACCCTCTGTCTCATCCCGCAAATCTCAAGAGGTAGCGCGCGTTCCAGGTAGTATATATTTCAGTGAGTACACATATCAAGTGCACGATGTAAACCAAGCCTTTATAGAGGTCCATGTTCGAGTCCCATCAGTGCCAGTGAATATGATCAAGTTTTTAAATGTGATGGGACCTTGGAATCGCGTAATCTAAAATTTTCAAGTAAAATCAACAAACGCTGACATTTACGAATAGTTTCTATTAGAAAAAAGTAATACATATCATACATAAAAAAATTTATAAAGTATTCTTCAGAATCTGTACGGATGAAAAATTTTCAGATTTTTTATTCAGATTTATAAATTGGAATATTTCTTTGAAAATCTCAGACGAAATCTGAAAATTTCTGAGCATTTCTAAGTAATACTGAGTATTTTTCAGTATTTCTCAGTATTTCCAGATTATGTCAGAATTTTTCTGAGAAATGTTCCATTTTATGTAAAAAATCTGAGAAATTTATGAGAAACTCTGAAAAATTCTATGAATTTTCTGAAAAATTTTTCCACCAGAGTAAGGCTAGAGAATTCTAATGTATTAAGGAAATTAGGTACAGATTAATGTTGACCATGCAATTCAAGAATGACAGTATATTGCTATAAGAAAATAGAAACATTGAAAGTACAGAAATTAGGCACAAATATTCAAATAATATACAATATTGATTATGGCAATACACAAGAAAATTCCATTGACTAATATATATATATATAATGTTTTACACACATATATACATATATATATATATATGTATGTATGTATATGTATATGTATATGTATATATATATATATATATATATATATATATATATATATATATATGACCCTTATAAAAACATCATACTAAGAATCATTGATAATTACTTATTATCCAGTATTTTTAATACTGAAAATAAGTAATTACCAATGATTCTTAGTATGATATTTCTATAAGGGGAGTTCTGTTTATAATATAGATTTATATAATCTTAATATGTTCGTTAGGTATATTTCTCTAAAGATTCATTTGTTTCCAGTATAGGTTGGCACGATAAAACTTCTTGTGCACATTTCCTCAAAGTATTCAGTGCAAAATTGATATCACTTTCAGATAAATCAATAGATATACAAAGTTTAAGACTAGGCCTTGGTTTAACTTTTTCTGCTTCTAAATAGGCAGGAAGTATAATTGCTAAGTTATTTTCTATACATTTGTTAGATATTGCAGATAGTAATTTCTCTTCAATAACATAGTCTTTTTTATCTTTCAAATATAAATGCTTTACAGGTGACTCTGCAAAACTTGAACACTCAAATGCTGAAATACTTTTAAGACCGTTATCTATTGCTAAAGTATTATCTTTTAAAGATTTGAATATTTGCAAATCATTCTCCATGATATCCAGACAAGCAATGACAGTAGATGCAAGAAAAGGTGGTAAAGAAGCTGAGAAACAATAGCCAAGTCCGGATAAACGTTGATGCTCAATAACAAAAGATGTTCCTACACAAAAGCCTCCAATAGATCCAAAAGCCAATTCCAAAGATCCTAAAAAGCATAATAAATGATCATATATAGTATATTAACAATACATAATTTATCTTATCTTATAGAATATACATTTTTATTACTCTTACCAATTATCATGTCTATTTCTGTTATTGGAATATTAAAATACTCTGTAACACCTTTACCATGCAGACCAATGGTACCAAGTGATATAGATTCATCAATAAAGATCCTTAATTTGTACTTCTTGCAGAGATCTAATAGTTCTGGTAAAGGACAAATATTTCCTGTTTTATTATAAATACCTTCTATGATCAAGAAGCGTTTAGTCTTTGCAGCTTTCTTAGGATTTTGTTTATCCACTTCTGCTTGTTTTATTAAGAGATCATGCAAATCTTGAACATTATTATGCTTAAAGTATTGGATATTTGCTCGAGATGCATCAAATCCTTTTTGGATAGCAAAGTTTACTTGTTCATCTGCAAATATCAAGTCATTGCGTTTACAGTAAGCCCCAATTGCTGATGATACAGTGCTAAATCCATATGAGTATACAACAGCCTCTTCTGTATTAGTGAACTTAGCCAAGCGTTCTTCTAATTCAAGATGTACATCAACAGTGCCATAGAAGCCACGTGGTCCACAGGAACCAACACCATATTTCTTCATAGCAGCTACTGCTCTCTCTTCTACTTTGGAATTGTTGCTCAAATTCAAATAATTGTGTGTTCCCAAATTGAGACAATCCTTGCCATTAATAGTTATTCGTTTTCCAATCCTGGAAGTGATGTACTTGGGATTCAACGAGGGATGTTCCTTTGGTGATTCTGATATCAGAGGCTCTGGTTGCCATTCCGCTAGTTTACTCTCCACCAGCTCATCCGAAAGTATCGAGTTGCGATCCTTTCGTTTTTTAGAGATAAACCAAACGACCAAAATCACCAAGATCGTTTCCAATAGAGTGTAATAATGCGGTAAAACATTGAAAATCTCCATCGACTCGACGAATAGGAACTTCGTGCTCATCTTTATCTTATTGTCAGGTGTCTTATATAACCAACACACTTCAGAACAAAATTCACGTTAATGAATCTACGATATCTACGTAGCCTCAATAACGATAAACTGATATGAATTTCCTGCATCGATAATCACATCACACACAGCGAGCTGGACATAGATCCACAACTAAACATTTTTAGGCTGCGTTCCGAAATTCACTTCCAGTACTGAAAATCTATAGTTCATGTCACATATACTATAGAATTTCAGTACTGGCAGTGAATTTCGGAACGCAGCCTTAGATGAGCGCATGCCTATGTTGCGAGTGCAGCAGAGTGCAATAGTTACGTCACGCCGTCATGCGAGTCTGTCTACATGAAAGTCGACGATAGCGTACGTACGTGCGATTGGCGCTTTCAAGCCGCCGTCGCCAAGTCGTGTCAAGTGCGAACGGTATGTACTTCCGGCATCCGGCAAACGCCCCAGTGTATCGTTCACTAGTATCGTCGGGTCGAAATTTCTGCGTACGATAGATCGTCCTTTGCAGTTTTTGTCGATCCTATTGGGAAAGGACTGTGCGGCGACGAGTCGCGTGGAAATTTCGCTCACGGTGAGTGGACAACGCCATTTATTTAAGAGACGATGAACGACATCGTGACTGCGACGGGGCGCTAAGTGCACGGCTCGCTCGCCGAAGGCTTTTTCGCCCCCGACTCATCGTGAGAGGCGTCGTGTCAATAAGCATGCTCGAACGGCGCGAAATGATGTTCGCGAGCGCGTACGCACGCTTGTCATTCCACTCGCCTTGCAAAGTTACCCCGAGGAACGCGAGTGATTTTTGGTTATCCGCCGCCACCGCCGCCGCCGCGTTCGGCTTTAGCGTTTCTCCGTGTGAGTCATGCATCTCCATCTAACGTTTAACGTTGGTGACGTATCATCGCGCTGTCAGCACAACGGATAACTGATTAAGAGATGGACTCATTTGAATATTTTTGCTGTATTTTTCAAGTAAAATCTCCTCTAGTATCGCCGACTTCCTCGTTTCCTGTACGAATATCCAATATTGTGTCCTGTCTGTTCTTTTCAGCTGTCACTTACAGCACATCCCTGTGATTTTTCCCCAATCATCGTCTTTCTACGGAATGTCATAGGCCAGTATTCATAGTCCGCTCTTATATTTAAAATTATTTTAAGTACTGTCTTAAGATGTCATGAACCAATCACAGAGCCGTATTCACATCTTAAGACATTACTTAAGACAGTATTGAAATAAGATTCAACTATGAATACCGGCCATAGTGTGTAATCATCTGACTATGAGAAGTGTTATGGGGTATGGCTGCAAAAGACAACTTTAAAAATTTTTTTAAATCTCAACTTTTTAACTTGCATCTAATAATGTAGAGTATTCAGTCTTTGGTTTTCCTTTGAAAGTTCTGCGAAAACAAACAGAAAAAGGGAGTTCTAATTAGAAAGAGGAGAATCGATTCTAAAGAGAATCAAATATAAATATTACGATCTAAAAAAGAAAAATATTCATAAAAGTGAAACAAGAGAAAGACTTTGAAACTGATTTATCCGCACGATTTGATGCTTCATCTCGTGACACGTCCCTGAGATTCAATCGAGAGATTGAGATTCAGCCGTTCGCACGGTAGATCCGTTCCTCGATCCGTTATCGTCATTCATTAGTCATACCTTGCTGTTTCATCGTGTCGCTCATTTTTACATTGAACAGCCAAGCGAGTCTCTTTCCTTTCTTTCGATTGCAAAGCTTTGAGCGTAAAATATATCGACGGAAAAGCAGCGAGATGCCGGGCGAGGAGAAGCATAGAAAAAGCGAGTCGGGAATCATGCCTGGGGCTTATAAGAACCTGTTGCATTTATGGCAAAATCGTAAGTTAACTCCTGGATTGCATTAATCACTTTTCTTAATTAATTATCGTGTTTAATCAACGTTTAATACGGGTTAATTCAATAGCAGACCATTTAATTGACAGTTGATCAGTTTCAGAGCAAATTTAATCGAAGACCGTTTGATTGACGATTGATTTCAACTAATTCAACTCAAAACCGCATAATTGACGATTGATATGAGCAAAGAGAATTACAAATTGCTCAATTAGAGTCAATTTCTCCAACTTCTTGGTAAGTCAACTAACAGTTAAATCATATGTCTGTCTTCGTTTTCTTCTCAAATTAGATAAAGACAGATATATTCAACTGTTAGCTTACCAAGAAGTTGTAAAAATTGTCTTTTAATAATTGAAGTTTAATTAAAGGCTATTTAATTAACGATTGAAATGAGTAAATTCAATCAAAGATTACTCTGTGACGATTGATATATGACTAATATCCCTCTTAAGATCCTAATTAACGTTTCTCAATCATCAACATCGCTCTTCCACTGAATCGATTGAATTGTATTAATTAAACAACTTTTAATTAAATTTAGTCGTCGATTAAACGGCCTTTAATTAAATTAAAGTTTAATTGAGCGACCTTTGATTCCCTTCGCTCATATCAATTGTCAATTGAACGGTCTTCAATTGAATTCGTTAAAATCAACCGTCAATTGAATATTTTTCGTCTGATTTTGCTCGAATCAACCGTCAATTAGTTTAATTGAGACATTTACTCGGATCAATTATAAAATTTTAAAAAAACTCGATTGATATTTTTGTTGCTCCGTTTGTTCGTTGCCATCCTGAACGCGAGACGAATAACGCACCAGCCGCGGTGGCGCATATTCTTCTCGAAGATTCAAATATTTTTTCCATATTAATTTCTCATTAATGATTGTGCACATGAATATCATCCCTGTGTGATTCTTGCACCTAAGGGCGGTCGTAAAAAGATCCAAAGAGCTGAAACGATGTTGCGCCGAAGCGATAACGCATAACGTATGTAGTGAAATAGAAGAGAAGCGTCCTTTTTCGTGGCACTTTTATCCGTGCGTTCGGTGGAGGCTCACGTGGAAATATTTTAGCCGATTCCGCCGAATACCATGATTTCGGTTCTCGTCCGAACAGCGGCAGCACCGGGGATCCGGGCGAGGTGGACGAGGTGAGGCGCGGCGAGATGACGCGACGACGCGACGCGATGCGACGCATCGCGCCGGTCGAAACTGGGAACGTTGGACCGGGGCGTCGGGACGTTATCCAGCCGCCGCCTTCGCCGCCGCCGCCTTTACGTCCGCCTTCGTTGTTGTCACTGTTTTCCTTGCCGCTTTTCCTATTATTCTCCGCCAATTCCATCGTTTTTCTTTGTTTCTGCCTTCTTCACGGAGCTCTTGTAAAAATTGCCAAGTTTTTTGCGACTTTTACCGACTTTAAGTTTGCCCACTTTTTCGCTTAGATCAAGTGCGGGCGGGCGGGCAGCTTTTGCGTCTCGTCATCTCCCCCGGGGCGGCTGCGTACATTGTGATGGAACAAATCTCTTTTCTGCGACGCGACCGAGTGCTGCAAGACTCTCGTTTATTTATCCCGGTACACAAGTAAAAAGTGGCGAGAGTGTTACCATCTTCTTCGATTAGTTAATCTCGTCTTCTAATCTGCGCGATTGAATTCTTTTTAGTGATTACCAAGCGTTTTCTAGAGAATACTCTAGAGAGTGTTCTCCAATAGACAGACAAGATTATCGGCCGAGAGTTCACTATTCGTGCTCGGGGAAATATAGTATATTTTGCCTGCGGAATTGCTCGAGCCTGCAAGAATTCGTCAGATCTTGCATCTTGCTCTCTAAGTTTGGCGTTTGAAGCGTGGTTGCTCCTGTGATCATTCGATCTGAAAAGGACAATATTTTAATCGGTGAATTTGAAGCGCGCTGTAGACACAATAGTGCGTTTGCTTCATCTGTTACGGTTGACCTCTTATGTTTATCGTCGGGCTATTTATTCAACCGTTTGAAGCTTACAAGTCGTTTAGTCGCGAACAAGTCGTTAGTTAAATAAGATTCACTTGCAATTTGTTGTGCGACGACAACGAAATCGAGCAAGGAATTGTGCGATTGGATGTGAAACAATCGCCTTACACTTTTACGCACGTTGACGAGGCAGGGTGAGCTTCCCAACATCACCGAGAGACGAGAGATTCTGCGGGAATCGAAGAAGAACACTTGAGCGAAGCGAAATATCTAACACACGTGGCTACAAGGCAGCGGTTCATGAAGTAAGGAACACGCTCCGAAACGAATATTCGCGTATAGAGATCACGAAGCACAAGATTGTTGGAACTATCGAGTTTTATATTGAACGTGTCTGTTAAGTTTCTTACGAGTTTATTGAAAAACGCATGTCTCCCGTTAAACCGAACAGAACTCTTCGTAAACAATAATCATACTACATTGAGATTTTATATATTAAATCGACCGAATGCGTTTTACATTGAATCGACTGCATCGAGTTTTATATTACACCTGACTGTTACATTTCTTACGAGTTTATCGAGAAACGCTCGTTGAACTAGATGAAATTTGGCGATATTAATTTATCAGAGAATTTATATACGAGTGCTCTCTCAAAAGAAGACTGTTATATCTTGCAAGAACGTCGCCTGTAAACAAATATAACAATATTAAGGACGAAAGGACTGCGATCGCGCAACAATCATAACAATCCAGCGACACGATAACGCTTGAAACGCAGTATCTGAAATAAACAAGGACAAACAATGTTCAAGTGCTGTAGATGTACTAGCTCGAAGGGGTCGCGATCGAACACTGACTCAGATTCGAACGACACTCCGACAGCATCGCGGAAGTCAGTCGAAGCGAAAGCGGACGATAAAAAAGAAATGTCACCGAAAGAGATCAAAGCAAATGGTGATGTACCGCGAACGGAGGAGACGGAAGAAATAAAGGAAACTCCGACCGAATCGGCCTTTGAAACAGAGACTCACTCTGTAACAGAGATTCATCCTGTAACGGAAGCTCATGCTGTAACGGAGACGCCCTCTGTAACGGAGGCTCACTCTGTAACAGAGGCCTCCTCCGAACAGCAGGATAAAGGAAACGGCGGTACTGAGGATAAGCAAGAGTCGGGCTTACCGAAAGCAGCAGAGATCGAGATAAACAAAGACGGTGTAAACATAGGCGACACGGAAGAAAAGTCGGACTCGAGCACAACGGAAGAAAAAATGGTTCACGAAGCCGATGAACGCGAGGAGAAGCCAGATCTCTCCGTCGTTAAGGAGAAGGCAGACCTTGCGAAGGGTGAGTCGTCGTTCTGCGGTTCCGTAATGAGAGAATACGAGCAAGTGGCCGAGAAAGTCGGCCTTTACAACGAAAGCCAGACCGCCGACGATGGAATTGAGCTTAGTGGTCCCGTATGGGATCAAGCAGACAGCAGCACGGCCGCGGTTAAAGTCACACCCTACTCCACCAAGACGAATCTTTACTGCAACTCAGGATACATAGAGAGGACGATCGATGACGGGCCGGATGACGAAGGCGACGACTCGGTTTTCGAGGCTGGTCCAGGCGAGAACGACGTGGCTAGTAAGGCTAATGACACAACATTTTCGGAAGGATTGGTCGAGACGATCGTGAACGACGAAAAGGATATTTCACCGAACGCTATTATGAAAAACAACGATGTGCCACAGGTGGAGGAGACGGAAGTAATTCCGCTCGAGTCTGCCTTGGCTCACCCTGTAACGGAGGCCCCGGCTGAGCAACAGGACGAAGAAAACGACGATGCTGAGGATAAGCGAGATTCGGGCTTAACGGAAGAAGCAGAGGCTGATAAAAGCAAAGACGACGTGGCTGATAACGCGCAACCAGGTACGGCACCCGTTAGTTCCGGTGTCGTGGACGCGCAGCCCTTTTATAATTAACTGAAGATAATTAACGAGGTAACACGCAAAGTGCCAGTAACATTGAATGTATCTTCATCTGTGAGACCAGATGAAGAAAATAGAGCAATGCAACGGAAACAAAAAAAAGAATATTTGGTTGAATTAACCAGATGTCTGATAAGATATGAACGAACTAGAACTCCAGTTGAAGTGACCAGAATTTTGTTTAAGTTAACAAGAGTCTGGTTAATCAAATTTCTGATTAACCAAAACTCGCAATTTTGTTTAACTTAAATAATTGCAAGTTCTGGTTAACCAGAAACTTCTTGCTATAAAAATCTTCATATAAAAATGTAATAAAACTTGAACAGAATTCTGATAACTTCAGTCGAAGTTTTGATTCGCTCATATTTCACCAGATTCGATTAATCCAATCAAATCTGTTCCAATTTTTTGTCCCGTGTGAGATTGTTCATGTACACATACACACCTTTTATTGATGACTCACTATGTAATCAGTATCAAAGTAATTTCCTTGTGATTGCACACAGTACTGTCACAAGCAAAAAGCGGGATCAGTGTACACGATCTCAGAGATATTGCTTCACATCGCGATCGATCGATAAAAGGTGTGTCTTCGAGCTACTTTGATTGTTCCATTGTCCAACCTCGTGTATTTGTGAGTGAGAGCCTGTCAATCGGACTAGTATCCGCTTTCCTCCGACGCAATGTGATCGATAATTCGTCTATCTTTACGGAGAGAAAAGCAAAAAGACCAAGGGCTAAGTTTAAGGCAGAGAATGCAGGGTGGAACGCGCGGCCACCGCCTCGAGAATTCGAAAGATGAGTCCCTTTCCTACCCTGGAGAGACAACGGTTCCCAGCCTATTGTACGTGTGTCGTTTCCGCAGTTGGCCTGCTCTCAGACTGGATCTCGCAGCAGCACGATCCTCTGGAGAAGAATGGCGAGCACGTGCAAGAAGGATGGAGCGGCATGCAGGAGCCGCCGGCGACACCAGTTGCTCGCGACGAGCTCGCCCTGAGACGGCACAGATTCTTCTCCGAGTTGTTGCAAGTCGCGCAGAACACGGAGCACAGAGTCAGGTTCGACCCGCTAGGACCGAGGGTGCATACCGGTTAGGGTTCTCGCCTATCAATTTTCCTCTGTGCGCGCGTGTTGCATGAGCCGAAGTAGCCAAAGTAGCTAGCCCCTTTCCGCGGTTGTATTGTCTTTCGACAAATCACGGATGATGGTCCTCATGAGGGATCGTCGCATGGCTCACATCATATGTCAACGGCGAGTGTGTCAATAGTACCACGTTTGATGTTTAATATTTTTACACGGAAAGAAAACATTTTTGGCACATAACCAGAAATATTTAGTTGTGAGCAGTATAGTTGCATCACCCTAATTATCTTTGTATGATGGTATTGTTTGATATGATTCAGTTACTTTGGTACATCAACTACATCGATGTAGTTACACGTGATCTGGTTGTGGCAACCAGAAGTCGGTTGGCACAAGCAGATTTATGGCCAACTGTTTTTCCCGTATATTTGTTGATATTTTTGCGATGTGGAGAAATGTTCGGTTTGGTGCCGATTCTTTTATGGATTTGTTTCCAATGTTTCGTGAATATGTTAATCTCTTCAAGGAAAGACTTTTGGAGAGAAACTTTTAGTTCAAGCTGTTCTTCTCATTTTTGAAAAAATGAGTTGAAACGTTCATAAAGCGTCGGCAACAAATCAACGAAGGACGAGGCAGCAGCCACGGAAGCCAAACCGAACACCATTTCCGATGTCTACGTAATATCATCACGTAGTATCTTTGGATGCGGTCATATCTCTCGCATACGCATTAAGGACGTAATATCGTCCGCTATTACATTACGTGTGAATCATTCGCCACGCGTATTTGTGTATAAGAGTGCTTCCCACACGATGTTGGTGGATTCTCTAATAATAGTTTGGAGTGTTCTCGCGTCGGACATCATTTCAGGTGTCTTTCAGTTTCTTGCCAATTTTCTGAAAGTCCAGTGGTCGCTACGCCACGCTGTTTGTAATATCGCATCGCAATTACGGGATCAGAATCCATCAGAATCTGGACGATAAGTATCGAGATTGTTAGTAATGAGGCTTCTAACAAGCAGAACTTGTGTTAGTGTAGAAGCGTACGTACCGCTCTTAACGCGACATAGCGTTATGTTGCGCTAATGTAACTATATTTAGCACATAACGTGTTCTATATTTAGTGTTCCAAGTATTCGACGAGGGTTCGCCTGAGATTTCCAGAGATTTTCGACGGTTCCCTCAGCGGGAAAGCTCCGTTTCCTTTCACGTTTGCCGTTTGTCTGTTAATTTTATGTCATCACATACAGTAAACACTACTTGAGAGTAAACGAATACTTGTGAGATAACGTTTTCATAGCGTGATACTTTCCACAAGTAACAAAAATATTTGTGTTCGAGAACCACAAGGTCCAAAATCATAATTTCGAAACCTGAAGTGTAGTAACACGCATCAGCGAGAACAGAGCTGATGTCATTCCTACTGATTCCGATTCCTCAACTGTGTTGAATATATCAAATTGCAAAAGATTTGTCGTGTTTGCCAAATAAAATATAGAAAACGGAATTATTCAATTTCGAAGGGTTAATAATTTATATGGATAAGATGAGCAATATTGACTAGATATTTTTTTATATATTTGACAAGAACTTGCTATTGTAAAAATATCCAAACTTGCTGCGAGAATTTAATGAATAAATGACATATCTTTTGCACCAAATTAACAGAACAAGTAATCGACTTTAATGATACATTGTAAAACTTATGGTTTGATTTGATGCTGTATTACAGGTTGCGGTGAAATTGGCGACAGGGAGGAATATCTGGAGCAATTGGTGAATCGATTGGAGGACGTCACGAAACGACTTGAGAAAGTGCCGATACCTTCATTGGTGCAGACTCAAGATACTTCCGTGCAAGTACCCTCACCGAAGTCTACGCCGATAAAAAGTAACTCTACGCAGAACTCACCAGAACCTCCATCGAATCCAGTTTGTGCGAGTGAACAGATAATACTACAACAGCCTACAAGCATGTCCGTAGAAGGATTCAAAGATCTCCTGGTCGGACCGGTTAGGGATTACATAGCATTAAGCCAGAAGATCGGTGGCGATGTAGCTACTCAAAGCAAGCTCGTAGAGAAAGCTTTCCAGTTAGTGGTGCCTTCGTTTTATATTAAAATCATGAAGTCAAGTGCAACGTACAATGAGTTGCAAAATGATTTAGACACAATTAAATTGGAAGCTTATCAAATTGTCAAAATTGAGAGTCATTACTGTTTGTATGTGTGTATGTGAGGACTTGTCTAGTAATTATATTATTAATTATTATTATTATTACGTAAATCCGTCGGTAACTCTCAATTTTTACAGTTTATTGAATTCCTAATTTTATTATGTCTAAATCATTTTGCAATCCCACTGTACATATCACACACAAGCTAAACGTTTCAAACGCATCTTATCGATTTCAGCTTTCAGCTGTACTACGTAGATACAGCGGCGAGCCGTGCAGCGCCAGTGAACCAGTCCGAACTTGCGAATATGCTTGAGCCTTTATCCGGGCAGATTCAGCAGATTCAGGAATTTCGTGAGAAAAATCGTGGATCCCCGTTCTTCAATCACCTATCGGCGATCAGCGAAAGTATCCCCGCTCTGGGATGGGTCACGGTAATACCTACACCGGCTCCGTTCGTGAAAGAGATGAACGACGCCGGCCAGTTTTATACTAATCGTGTATTGAAGGATTGGAAAGAGAAGTAAGCCTTTCTTAGATAAGGAGACAAAGGTGATTTGTTTCGTGATTCTGTAAAAGGGCAATTTTCTGAAATACCTTCTATTTGTAGAGACAAAATACATATAGACTGGTGTAAAGCGTGGATACAAACGTTGACCGATCTGCAGCAGTACATCCGTCAACACCACACGACAGGCTTGGTATGGGGAAAAGCTAGCGTCGCACCAATAGGAATACCACCTCCTCCACCTCCCTCGATGCCAATCGGAGACGTTGCACCGCCTATGATCAATGACGATAGGAGCGCTCTTTTCGCACAGATCAATCAAGGAGAAGATATCACAAAGAGTGAATATTTTTTTACGTTGATCTGAAATCAATCAAATCCTCAACAATGTATAATCCTATAAAAGTGATAACAGTGTATAATCTGAGTAGATATCTATTCCCGATTAATCGTGTCGAGGAAAATCAATCTTAATCGATTCAATATATAACATTTGTCTTGTAGATTTGAAGAAAGTCACTTCGGAAATGCAGACGCATAAAAATCCCTCTCTGAGAGCTGGACCCGCGCCGTTCAAAGCTCCGGCAATCGCCAGTGTGACGCCGATGAAGAACGTGTTACCGGCGAACGCGCCTATCGACAAAGCACCTGTATTTACTAGAGATGGCAAGAAGTGGCTTGTGGTAGGTTAATTTTTCATAATGCATGTATCTCTGCATCTCGGAAAAAGAGAAGAAGAGCCGGTATCCATTTTTTCCAAAGCAGAGATAGCCGAGTGCATATTAAACGACGACGTTTCGTTACCTGTTATAGGAGTATCACAAAGGCGAAAATATAGTGATCGATAATGTGGAGATGAACAATGTAGTTTACATGTTCCGGTGCCAAGACAGCACACTCACCGTCAAAGGCAAGGTGAATTCCGTCGTGATGGATTCCTGTCGCAAGTCGTCTGTTGTATTCGATTCCCTCGTGTCCAGCATTGAGTTCGTCAATTGTCAAAGCGTGCAAATGCAGGTATGTATGGCCGCGAGTGCACTTTCTATCATTTATATTCTAACGAAACCGTGTAGCTGGATAAACTTGTGCTTAAAGAACATCGTCTAATGTCGATGCAAGAAAAACAATTTACTCTTTCGTGTCGCGAAAAATTACCTTTTATCTTTCTCGCTCTCCTTCTCTTAATTTTCGAATACTAGATAACAATTGATATAAGCAAGCGCACAAGGTCGTTTATTCGGAAAAATGTACTCTTATAAAAAGAATCTGATAAATAAATAATTTTATAAGTATATCTGCGATAAACAAGACAGATTACATTGGTCTACTTCAAGTATGTCGGTCATCGATGTACATGTATCTGTGATGGAAGGTTTTGCGTTAACTTCTTGCTCCTTTTTCTCAACGGCAACGCTCCATAATTCTGTTTTGTGCTTCAATAGATCTGTCACAGAACGGACGTTTTCCGTGTTCAGAATGAACGAATGCGCCGGATAATTCTTTCGTGAATCGTCACTCGCCATTATGGAAATAATGGTTAACGTTGGAGCTGTGCTTTCTATACGCTCCGTTATCGTGTTCGATTTACCGTCGCATGTGAATTCCTTATTTGTCAGCTCTTTATCAATCTTTAGGGATTCTGTATTTCGATTGTCAGATAAGATATTTGAACTGTTCGTTATCGTTACATTACTGTCTCTGTATGTCGCGTTAGTTTCCTCCAATTCCTCCGCGATTTCATCTCCGTTTTTCTTCGTATTTATTTTATTTAAATTTAACGCAGTTTCTTCCGCGTACAGTCCTTTGTTTATAGGAACGCTGTATCTTCTTCGCGTAGCTTCCTCACTCGTCGTACGATTCTTCGTACAAGTATTTTCTCTCCACAGCATCGTTAACGGACTTCTCGTAGGACTTCTCGTGTTTGACTGGTGCCTCATTCGAGCTGCTTCCAAGCGATTTCTCAAGATCGGTATACACGATCTAGTGGAGATCCCTTGCGGCAATAAGAGCGACTTCGACGAAGTTGCGGACCGCGATTCGCTTTCACACTTTGCACATTCGTCTGTATAATCGTGTGATTTGTTATCAGACTGATATAATATCCTACGAATACGTTTTAAAGTGTTACGGTACGTAAGTGACGAGTGCGATCTTTTCGGGTGTAAGCTGACGTTCGAATTCTTGATTATACCGGTTATTAAAGACATGTCGCTTTTGGCTTTAACTCGGGAATTCGTCCGGTGTAACCGTCTCGTCGAATGGTGTTTTATTCGGGGTGACAAGTTCGTGACATTCACAGACACTTCAGGATCGTGGCGTCTTATATTATTTAATAAACCGTTGTTTAACATTTCTTCTTTTAATGAAGAGAATAATGGGCACTCACCCAAGTCGTAAGTGACATCGTCACTTTTCTTCGTTTTCGTGTCTGTTGAACAATCGCGGCTCGATCGGCCAAGCATGAGATTCAAGTCGACGAGTGTTTTTGACTTGGGACACTCGATGTCTGATGACAGTTTACTCGGCATTACCGTATTTGTGCCTATACTTTTGCCTGTGGAGACACGTCTTCGACTTTTTAAGATTCCATCTTTGCTGCTCTCGAGTTTATGATGCTTCGAAGAGTCTGTTGCTACTCGTTCGATGCTGTCATATTTGGACGATACGGCAAATTGATCATGCAATATCATGTGACTAGCCTTGTCTGAACATCGGGAAGAGACGCTCTCATTCGGACCCTGGAGCACCCTGCGCGTTTTGGAGATGGCTCTGTCTTGGCTGTGAAGAAAAATATCCATGTAATCTCTGATATTCTTCACGCGTTCCAATACAAGATCTTCGAGCTCGAGCATCACCGGCAAATGTTTCCCGACTATGTCACCGTCGAGATCGCCGACATTCACGTCTTCTCTCGAATTCTGCCGCGAGCTCTCTGCGTCTTTGTTCTCCATATCGACTGGTATCATGATCGAGATTACTTTCTCGTAAATTGGAGGTTTTAACGACAACGGCGCGTTGCTCTCAATGTCCTCGTTGTCAGAAACTGCTAGATTGCAGAAGCTGAAGTATTCAGATGGTGTCTCGCGTACAAGTTCCTCGTTGTCGGCGTCTCCTTCGCTTTCGCAACGCGCGAGTGCGATTATGTCTCGCAAACCTCGGGGGAACAGATCGCTCCGTTGCTTCATCTCCAAGCGAACGTAACGTCGATTCAGTTGTGCGTGGATGGTGTCAATAATTGGTCCTTCCGTCTCGATATCCATTACCATCGTGGGAAAATTATTGCCATTCTCGATCTGCGTCTCGTAGTGCGTTGGAAGTTCACCTGCGACATTGTTTTCTCCCGTGCTGTGCATCAGACATTTCTTTTCAGACTCGACTCGCGTCAGCAAGGCCTGCTTGAAGAGCAAAGCCTCCTGAAGCAACAACGCCGTCGACTTTTTCTCCTGATCGCTTCTCATAGAAATCTTACTTCGACTACTACCTCGAGATATGATCATCGTGTTTCCTTGATAGTGTTCTCCATCAAATGCATCGCTAATCTCCTCAATGATGGTTTCTTTCATCGAAGATGCACTGTCTTTCTCAATTGGAATATCCCTAGACGACAAGATGCATCGTGTATTCTCCGACACTGGCGCGAATTTCTTTTTCCTGAGATTAAAAGAAGCGTTCGTCGCGTTCTCGTCAGCTCGCGAATTCGATTTTAATTCATGACTGTGATCCGAAATGTCTTGCTCACGTGTATTTCTTTCACTCTGACTCTCACGATACTCCGACACGTGTGACATCGCGCTGTAGAAAGGTGGAAACTGATTACAACTACTCACAAGCGCTGCTAGATCGCTCGTGCAAGCGGATCTCCGTACACTACGTTGATCGTATTCCTTAGAACAAATACTTCGCAACGCAACGTCGCTGGAGTATTGATATGTTTTAGAAGATGTATTCGACGAGCACTCGGCAAAGGAAGATGAGCTTTCTTCTGTGTGATCCATCTCAAAGTATTCGCAACTGTCCACGATCGAGCATTGTACGCATGACAAAGCTTTCCTCGAGTCGCTATCATGATTCGCGTCGATTTTATTCTCACCCATTTCTTCGATTTTAGGTACGACAGAGGCGAGTACATTGACCTCACCGACCTGATCTGCCAGTTTTCGCTTTTCCAAAGATTTGCTGTCCTCGTACATTCGCAGCACATTGTGTAGACTTTGAAGTCTTCTTCGAACCTGGTACAATGTATCCAGAGACGGTCGCACGCTATGCCTCGAGTGGTTCATCAAAAGATCCTGAAGTTGTTTCGGGAACGCGACGTCGTTTATCATCATGGCATTGGAGGATGCATTTATATCACTTTGTTGGTGTACTTGATCGACATCCTTTGCTGACGGCTCGTTGCCTTTCATTCTTGTCGCACATTTTGTTTCGTCTTTTCTTGCTTTTCTTGTCTTTGCTTGTCTTTTCTTGCTTTGCTTGTCTTTTCTTGTTTCGCCAGCGGCTTCAGATACCTCTCGCTTCTCCGCCGTGAGCGAAGCTGGCTGAGAAGAATACAGAATTATAAGATTCGTGATAAAATTGGAAGTGAACAGTTATAGAGATTCACCTGTTCCGTCGCATATGTGTCTTTCGATGAAGACACTCTTCTCTCTGATGAGTGATTTAACAGACGCAAGCGTTTGTCATTGTCTTCCAACTCTTTGAGAAATGATCTGCATCTGTGAACAGTATTCGTGAAATCTTGGCACGGATTGAGTTTGGCGTTCGACGCGACAGATTTGTTGTTTTGTACTGAGAGTACTCTTGAGGATCGACGGTTGCACTCGTTTACCAGAAACTGCTCGTTGTTCCGACGTTGTAACGTGAAGTCGCCGCTCTTTGAGAGATCGCTCTCCTCGGTACTTACGTTTCGTGGGCGGAAACTCGGCCTCCGTGGACATACGCTATCGAAATAAGTCGAATCGATTTTATTGAGGAGAAACATAATATTTCCGAAACGTCGTGTGTGCAATGGATTGCAAACCACTATTGTAAAATTAGATGCAATGAAGGTAGAGGCTCACTAAACTGTCAAAATTGAGTCATTATAGAGATAGACTTTTACGCAATAACAATATAATTAATAATATAATTAAAAACTCTAAATAACAATCAATAATAATTAATAATATAATTACTAGACAAGAGCCCGTCAAACAGCAATGACTTTCAATTTTGACAATTTGGTAAGCTCCCAACTTCATTGCGTCTAAACCGTTTTGCAACTCACTGGACATTAGCTGTTACTATTAACTGGTGATGGAAAGTATGAAGGACAGTTTCGGCAGTAAGATAATGAAGACTTAATAAGATGTTCGGCTAATATACTCCTAATTTTTGTACTTGACAAATTGGTCACTGGTAGACTTTGAGGTTTCAATACTGCTGCAGTCTGTTGATAATTTACCGCGTTGAATATGAGGCGAAGCAACGCGTTTGTGTTTCATGTCGAAGAAATCGCTCAGTTTCGCCACGGATGGATTGTGGACGTTTGAGCAAGGAACATACGTATCGCTTTGTGTAGGACTGAAACAAACATGGCACCATAATGAACATGAAACGATTAGAATCTATTGTTTTACAGTTAACTCACTGAAAGTTCGTTGACTATTCGATATTAGCTTTATGTACCTCAGTAGTACATGCTTTATCCAGTTTTTCCGATCGACCGGGTTGGACAAGGTCATTCTGATCTTCTGCAATTTCCTCGGATTTAAACTGTAGATTTGATGCGGCAATGGCCACGTTCCGTATTGCATCTTGTATGTTAAAACGTTGACTTTCAATTCCAGATCCTGAACCTTATATCCGACTTTACGTAGTATTTTCTTGTCGACTTTAACGTTGTCTACGCGCGTGCCTTTGCGAGAGTTTACATAGAATAGTATCGTGAAAATGATGGCTAGCGTCAAGGTCTACGGAGAGAAGCAATTAATTTGCTTGAGATCTCTGAAGGCACGAGATTCAAATTAATCGGATTAATAATGCGTGTAAAGGGAGAGTCCATCGTACCCATATTATGCCTTCCTTCGTTAAAAAGTCAACGACGTCGGACACTATCTCGAACCATAAATAATCCGCTACTGCAGTTGTGCACTCTTGCCAACTTATCTTACACATTATCTGCACACTTTCGAAATTTCCACCTGCGAGATTTGCAGTTTCCGAATAATGAAACGAACCTCGAGAAATGGTAAAGTTCTCCCAACTGCGCACCCAACGCATTGATTTTACGTGTTAAAAGAATAAAAGCGATCTTACCAAGTTTCCACGGCATTTTTCCACACGTCAGGTGTCCGTCCAGGCAATTATTAGTACAGATAAACGGTGCATATAAAATTCGAGAAACTGTCAGATACTACATCTTCCATTACCGATACATGTTCAGCGCGGTTTGCGAAATCTCCGATCATGCGCGTGGCAATTGTTATCGAAACGTATTTTGAATCGAAGGAAGTTGGTTTTAATTTCGATAAATTTAATTTCTAACACAACAAGTACATACAATGGGTCGTAAAACGGTTTAGACACATAATGAAGTCTGTCGGAAATGATTCTCATCTTTGACAGTTTAGTGAGCTCACAACTTTATTGTGTCTAAACCGTTTTGCAATCTACTTTACATCATAAGCATAATATAATCATAAGCACGATATAATTATTTTTATATAGTATCTCCAGATGTAAACTCAGCGAAATTGAACACTAATATTGATCGTTGCTCCCGATATTGAAAGATAATATAAAAAATTGTATCAAATTTATATTTACCAGCAATATATCATGCACACCTTCCACAGGTCCTTGGAAAAGTACCTACGATCTCGATTGACAAAACTGACGGCTGTCAAATGTATTTAAGCGCGGACTCTCTGAGTGTAGAACTCATCACCAGTAAATCTAGCGAAATGAATGTCATGGTTCCCAAAGCCAACGGAGATTACGTAAGTAATTCTTCGATTAACTTACACATATGCTTTTTCGCGCGATTACACAAATATTTCGTGTTGCAGATTGAGTACCCAGTACCGGAGCAGTTTAAAACTACCATCAGCCCGAACGGTCTGAACACCATGGCTGTTGATTCACTCGGCTAGAAGCGCATTGAATTACGATTATGCATATAGCCTACGCATCTCTCCTTAACAACATAACTCACTAAAGGTATCATCGTCCAAGAGACATCAATTTATTAATATTCTTACTATTATTATTTATTATTCTTCTTGTGGATAGTGCGTAGCTAAGGGAATGAAAAAGACAAATCTGATACTGTATGTTTTGCTTGCGACGTGCGACGAATATTATTTCGATCGCACGTACGACTGCGTGCCCAATGGTAACGAGCTATTGTGATGAAACGCAGTCGGTGATAAGCGATAATAATGTATCCACTAAAGTATTGCTTGAAAAATCTTATGTCGTCTGAGAATATCTTTCTAAATCGTTAAATTGTCGGGGGTACGTGAATTCTATCGATTCACTGGGTCAGACATCTTGAATCAAGATGATCGATTTTCGCGAAGGTCACTGTGAGCTCGTTTAACAACTGTAATATATGCGTATCTATAGAAGTGTCTGAATTATTATATGAAATTTCATTTTTTGTATCTCCATGTGCGTTCAGGTACTCGCATATCGAGATCGAGAGGAAGGAGATGTTGCGATGGTGTGTTATGTATGGACAAAAGTTTTTATCGTCTTCGAGAGTCGCTCTTTTATACATTTACACCATTTTCTATCATACAAGAACTTTTGCTCAAACCTGTCGTCGCACAGAATTTAGCCCGCTACACCGGGCGGAACGAGCGTTGTACACATATATAGCTAGCAGGAAACGGGATTACTAGGCCTCTCCGAACATTACTCCGCGAATGTCGGACACCACCGTCAATAGTTCGATATTGCTTTGCCTCTAAAGTATTGCGCTGTCGAGTTCAGTATTGTACGACATACTTAGAAAGGGGAATTCCAATAATCGGGTACGTGAATTTGAAACTTAACGGATGCGCGATGTTTAATGAGGGCTACTCGTTAGTATTAATATAACTTGAATACAGCACAGTATTAAACTGTGAAAGAACGTGTCTATAAACACGAGCAACAGCGACATCATCATAAACAAACCGTCTTGGCAAACCGTTTGTCTATGTTGCACAATTCATTGTAATAAACACATAATTATTTAATCTAGACTATTTTTAACTTAACAATAGTATCGTGAAGAGACATCGTCATTTACAAGCGCTTCTGTTTCAATGTCCGATTATATACAATATAATCACTATTTTCCGTTATAGATATAATTTTTGGTGATGAGTAACTAATAAATCTAATAAAAGTGAAGTTATATATACTATTTAGCGTATTTTAATTATTTCTCTTTCAGCTACGATTATTATTATATATGCTACGAGATATCGTAACCAATGGTATTGTTCGTTCGTTCGATCAATTGGTATAATAAAAAGATACGATTTTTTATAAAAGAAATGTATTTCGTGTCGTGTCACATCGCGTTTCTTCTGAAGTTTTACATCACAATTTCACGTTAAGTATATATACACGTTATTAACAACGAGTCATGTTTTCTTATATTGTAGACTAGTCTCCTTTTGTTTGATCAAGCTTGGCCAATTGATATGAGTCTCGAGCTTGACCAATTGATACGAATCTCGAGACAAAGTTTTGGATTCAGTCTGCACAGAAACAATGACTGTTGTTTGCACATAGACCGGAGTAAATTCTAATATCGTGACAGAGAATCGCGACGTTTCGATCAAGGGATTAAACTTATTCGACTTTTATCGAGGAACTAAAGGATCTTATTATTTTCCACTACTTCTAACATCTATATAAATAAACTAGAAACGAGAGAATGATTTTGTTTGACGTTTTTTGCGGGATAATCTAAAAGAAAATATCGCGCAACAGTCTCCGTCTAGTTTCGCTACTTAATGTATTTGAAAATCATCCTACTTCTACGCTGCGAATGCGCGTTGTTTCATAATCAATGAATATACTTCTCTAGATAGAAGAACGCGTAACGCTCTATCACATCTTGTGTTAACGTTAATAAGACTATACATACTTATCTGATTACTATCGTCGTCTGAATAAGTCACGTTCACGCTTTTATTACGACGATATACATCATGTCAGTCTTGTATTATCGCGAAGTAGCGGGACAACCTCGCTCGTCGCTACCGTCCGAGCATTCGAGAAATCCATTACAAACGCGTGATTTCGGCAAACATTCGCCGAGGGGGCATCTATGGCCTTTGCAGAATGCTACCGTAGACGATTGGATATCTTCCTGCATGATAACACTATCGATATAGTCCAAAAAATGAAATATCTTAGTGTAAACGCCGGGTCGTTCTCGTCGCCCACATCCATAACCATTTGACGTAATGCCTTTTAAAAGAAAATTTAAAGATTTAATTTTCTTAAATAGAAGATTTATATATATATATATATATATATATATATATATATATATATATATATATATACACGCGTGCGCGCACGCACACACACACACACACAGGATATCCCGCTACTACCACATTATCTCTTAAGGACGGATTCCTGAGATAATTTGAAGAAAAAAATCCTAATGCAAAAATGTCAAGGCTATAATACTTTTCAAATTATAAGCGATTAAAGTTGACTGAAATACGCGCGCTCAGGTACGATACAACATACGATGGTACATGCACATAAGTAAGAATTTGCATAAGATATGAAATTAGTTATAAATTCCTGAAAGAAACGTCAAATGTATGACAGCTTACTGATTCTTATAAATGAATTGTGTGATATTTTATTCATAACATTTTGACGAGATTGTTATTATTTAGAATATGTTTATTTAAATGATAGAAAAGGCAGATTATTATTACATATATTGTTGTATGTATAGAATTTCCGTATCAATATTTGGAAAAGGGACGATATGTGCATGCACCTGTACTACTGTGTGTTGTATCGTACCTGAGCGCGCGTACTTTAGCCAATATAATTGGTCAACTTTAATCGTTTATAATTTGAAAAGTATTATAGCCTCGACATTTTTGCATTAGAATTGTTTTCTTCAAATTACCTCAGGAATCCGTCCTTAAGAGATAATGCGATAATGGCGAGACACCCTGTGTGTATTATTTATATATATATATATATATATAT